GGACTTAGAAATTCTATTGGACTTAAAATTCAAGTTCCTTATTGTGGTCCACAAGACCTCAGACCTCATCTCACATAATTCTTCTTCTCGTCTATTCTCTTTGTCCCCGTTGCATTGGCTGTTTTGCTCCTCAGATATATCTTTCCTGACTCGGGGCTTTTGTTACTGCTCTGTGTCATGTCTGAAATCTCCTTCCCCCTGATCTTAGCATGACTTCTTCCTGATCCTTCGGGCCTCTGAGTTTCATCTATGATACAAATGCACCTCCAGAAAGACCTTGCCTAATCACAGCATCTCAGTAGCTGTCCCATAACTCTCTCTTTCAGCTTCTTGATGTTTCTTTCAAAATAATTATTTGCCTTTCATTGTTTTGTTTACTTACCTATTTACTAGCTGTGGAAGCAGGCCACGTGTCTCATGCTCACCACTGCATCCCCAAGGCCAGCACTGTGCCTGGCATAGAGTCAGTGCTAACACAGATGTCTGTGGCTGGATGGCGGAATGGATGAATGAATGAGTTGGGGGCTCCAGGCTGTGGAGGGATATTCTGACTGATACCCACTCCCACCTTGTCCCTTAGAACGGCCACTGCACCCCAAGGAAAGGGTCCTGGAGCAGGCCTTACAGTGGTGCCAGCTCCCAGAGCCCTGCTCGGCCTCCTTGCTCTTGAGGAAAGTCTCCCTGGCCCAGGCCAGCTGCCTCTTCACAGGTGAGCCTCCTCCTTCAGCCCAGAACCTCCAGTCTTCTCCCTAAGGGCCTCCCACCTAGTACTGCCCGTTTGTACCCAGGTGTCCGGCGGGAGAGCCCAAGAGTGGGGCTCTTGCGGTGTCGAGAGGAACCACCCCGATTGCTGGGAAACCGCTTCCAGGAGAGGTTCTTTCTGGTTCGTGGTCGCTGCCTACTGCTGCTCAAGGAGAAGAAGGTGCGGCCCTGGGGCTGTCGGGGAGGGGCACTGGCTGGCTGCTTGTGAGGAGCCATGACTGCACTGACCCTCTTACACCACAACCCATAATCCCATCCATCTCACTGCTTCTCCGGCCCTTTGGCCCTGGCATCACATCACCACAATGCTTCCGTGACTTTTCAGCCTCATGAACCGTGACCCTTCTCCCTCACCTATCCACCTCATTGGACTCTGTTCATGTTCTCAGAGCTCTAAACCGGAACGGGAGTGGTCTTTGGAAGGTGCCAAGGTCTACCTGGGGATTCGCAAGAAGCTAAAGCCTCCAACACCGTGAGTTTTCTTCCCCAGTTTTCTTTCTAGGGCCTCCCTGCCTGCCACCGCCCTGGTCTTTCTGATCACCCCACACTGCTCTCCTTTGCCTCTCAGGTGGGGCTTCACATTGCTACTGGAGAAGATGCACCTGTGAGTACCGCCCAGCCTGGCTTCTCCTCGGGCCCAACCCTGTTCTCCATCCCCATAACTTATGTGGTTATGGAAGGAAAGTGGTGACCTCTTTCCTTCCCCTAAACTCCCTTCTTTTTACCTTCAGCTACCTGTCCTGCACTGACGAGGATGAGATGTGGGACTGGACCACCAGCATCCTCAAAGCCCAGGTGAGGGGGAGGAGAGAGTGGAGGGCTAGGTCCTAGCTCTACCCCTCAGTACTTCCCATGCCCACTTGTGCCAACCTCTCCCCCTCCCTCCAGCACGATGACCAGCAGCCAGTGGTCTTACGACGCCGTTCCTCCTCAGACCTTGCCCGTCAGAAGTTCGGCACCATGCCTTTGCTACCCATCCGTGGGGATGACAGCGGGGCCACGCTTCTCTCTGCCAATCAGACTCTGGTGAGGTCCCAGCCCCCCTCAAGCCCTTCTTGATCCCTGCCTGCGCCCTATCCACACGGCAGGAGGGAGTGGTGCATCTGCCAGCCTGGGGTCCTCCCTTTGCCTTCTCTGTGCCCCTACTCCCCACCTCCTGCTGCCAGGCTCACTGTGTCTCCGTGTCTTTCTCTCCTCGAATCCCCACCCCACCTGTGTCCAGCGGCGACTTCACAATCGGAGGACCCTGTCCATGTTCTTTGTGAGTACTGTGCCTGCTCCAGATGCACCTGTCGGCGCTGTGTTCCTCTGTGCTGCCTGAGCCGGTGTGCTCCCTGTATTTGTCTCTGCGGGCCTCGTGTGTTTGTGTTTTTGTGTGTGTGTGTAAAGAGAGAAAAAGAGTAAGTGAGAGAGTGCTGGGCCAGGAAAAGTAAAGAAAATGAGGGATGGTGAGGAAAGGGGGAGGTGGTTCAGGGCCTGAGAAACAGAAAGTTGAATGTATTTTGGAGTTAGACAGACCAGGGTTCAAGCCCCAGCTCTAACATTGGTCGGCGTAAGTCCTCTGAACCTCAGTCCATTCACCTTCAGTGTAACCCATCATACAGGGTTGTTTTGACACAATATCTGTGAAGTATTCTGCAGCATCTGGCTGAGAGCAAGAGCTCAATAAATGATAATGATAAATAACCCAGCAATGCTAACTCTGCCTCCTGCCAACCCATTCCCATCTAGCCGATGAAGTCATCTCAGGGGTCTGTAGATGAGCAAGAGGAACTGGAGGAGCCTGTGTATGAGGAGCCAGTATATGAAGAAGTGGGGGACTTCCCGGAGCTGATCAAGGACACCTCCACCTCCTTCTACACCACGAGGGAGCAGACAGCCAAGTCAGAGACGCCCCTCACCAGCCAGAGACCCTCGGATCAACCCCTTCTCTCCAAGGCAGGCCGGGAGGAGAGGCCGCCGGAGCCCCCTCCAGGTCCCCCTTCAAGGAACAGCCCCCAGGCACATGCGTCCTTGGAGGAGCAGCTGCTCCAGGAGCTCAGCAGCCTCATCCTGAGGAAGGGAGAAACCACCAGAGGCCTGGGCAGCCCCTCCCAGCCCTCCAGCCCCCAGCCCCCAAGCCCCAGCAACCATCCGACACAATCGCCTGGCTTCCCCACCCCACCTCCCTGCACTTCCAGTCTACCCTCCAGCCAGCCCCTCACATGACCAGCAGTCTGAGGGAGTGCCTAACCAAGAGACCCAAGCTCTCCCCTTGGCAGACACTGTTGGGAGCTTCCTCTCAGCCTGGCTGGAAAGACTGGAATCCGGTGTGGTGCTGTGGAAATAGCACAGGAACTGAGGGCTTCAGACGCTGTGTCCTGCCGAGAGAAGGGCAGGTCATGGCTTCCCGCTGGGCCTCTGCTCACCTGTCTGTACCATGAAGTCACTGAGAGAAGTAGAACAGCGGACATCAAACTGTTTCTCAGAGCTGTGGGCCCCACATATTTTTCCTCAACAAGGGCAACTCCTGCTTTGTATATTTGATATGTTGGGGTTCTGTGAGAGATTTGGGGTTTGAAAAGAATGGTTTTAATGCATTAAATTAAAAAAAAAAAAGATTTGGAAGCCAGAGATCTGAATGACCCTCTAAGTCTGTCCTACTCCAACTTGATGTGCAACAAAATGATGTTCTTGTGGAGGGAGCCTTTATGCTGGGTGGATGGGGAAGGCCTCTGTGAAGAGCAGAAACTTAAGGGTAAGAAGAGAGACACGTGGAGATCCGGGAGAAGCCACACTCCGGAAGGAGAGGGAAAGCAGGAGGCATGAAGGCTTTTGGACTGCCGGTGGGAAAGGCCTTGGCTGGCTGGGGAACAGCGTGAAAGCTGGAGCACCCTGAGTGGGGAGTGGGAGAAGGGTATAGGCTGAAGAGGGGGAGACGGGAAGGGGCCCAATCACACACCACCTTGTAGACCATGCTAGGGCATTTGGATTTTATGCTGAAGCAACTGAGGAGTTTTCAAGAAGATAGTGATGAGACTTATTTCCTTTTTTTAAAATCAATTACTATGTTTATGAACAGTGGATTGTAGTTGGGGGCGGGGGAAGGCATAGAGACTGGAAGCAAGGAGACCACATGTTAAACTAGGAGACTGATAATGAGGGCTAAGACTAGACTGGTGGTTATGGGAATTGAGGAAAGTGGATCAATAGGGAGATGTTTTTTACAAACAACCTATAGGACTTGCTGATGGATGTGGAGGCAGAAGAAAGGCACACTGACCCTGGGTTCCTGACTTTCCCAACTGGATGGAGAGTAGTACTGTTTGCTATGTTACCTGAGGTAGGTGACCGGGGAAGACTCAGGTGGAAGGAGCAGTTACTGCCCTGGCCTATGGGGCTGAGTTGGTTGAAGCATCCCCTGTGTATCAAAAGGTTCCATGTCAGGGCGAGCTTGAGCCCCAGCAGCCGAATCTATGATTCATTCTCATCATCGATGTTTCTATCTCTCCATTTCCATTCCTCTCTAAAATCAATACAAATATATATATTTTAAATTTTTTTAAAGAAAGGGTGTGTGGAGCCTCAGAAAGCTGTGTGAGGGCTGAAGGGCCAACCCTAAAGGTGACTGGGGCATTCTGGCCCATAAGGCCCCACGCTCACCTCTCAGCTCACACCCACTCCCGGGTGTCTTTTAGTTTCCCCTGGTCTTGGAGGCACCAGTCTTTTCTCCTGGGACTGGTTCCCTCCTGGCTCCGGGCATCTTTCTCACCTCAGCTCACTCTGGCTTTTCCAGTTCAGTGGGAAGTGAGAAAAGGCCTTGGGACCAGCCCTGTTTCCCTTGTCAGACAGACTTCACCCAGGCATCCAGTGACTCAGTTTCCCTGGTCGCCATCCTTCACCCTTTGAGCCTGGGACTGGCCATCTGCATATGTAAGTGGTTAATTAGAAATAATTACGAGCTGAGTCAGCGGCTCCACTAGAAATAGAACCCCGGCGTCTTGACTCAGAGACCTGGGGTTCCCCCTACCGCCCTGCGGACGCGGCGTCCACCCAGCTGCCCGGACGGACCCTTTTGGGGTATTGGAAGCTGCAACAGAGGTTTACTCCTCCGCGGCCCCCTAGCGTCTCGCCGCCCTACGCGCAGCAGGACCAGACGTGGGCGAGGCGGGGCGGGGCCTGTAGGGGCGGAGCTTAGAGGTGGGCGGGGCTACCCGGAGTTCCGGAGTCGAGTCGCTGCTGCCGGGGCTGGAACGGAGATGCAGCCGCCCTCCCGAAAAGTGAGCTCGGCCTGGGAACGGGGCTCGCGGCGGGCTGGAGTTGGGGTGAGGTCCGGCGGGGAGAGGGGTCGAGTAGTAGGAAGGGGTCCGAGCCGGACCCAGAAGTAAGCGAGGAAACAGCCGGGCCCCTCCCTCCCCGGCCCCGCCTCCTCCCCGCCGCCGGCGCGGAGTGTTTTCCAGGCCCCCGCGCCAGGGTCTGCATCTCTTTCTTACCCCCCGAAGGTGAAACCGGCCCAGGAGGTGAAACTTCGCTTCCTGGAGCAGCTGAACATCCTTCAGACTCGGCAGCAGCGGGAGGCAGATCTGCTGGAGGACATCAGGTACTCCTGTCCCCACTCCGCGGAACCCCATCTTCGCGGTCGCGCTCTGGCTCTGCCTCTTCCCGGACGTACTCGGGGCTGGGGCGTGGGGTGGGGGAGAAACGGGGGCGAAGAGCTCGCCAAACTTAGCCCATTCACAGCCCTCGCCCTAGGCCTGCCTCTCCAGATACCAGATTCCTCCCACCCCAATACACGAATAAATAAACGCACAGGGACCCTCCCTCAACCCTCTTGATTTCACATCACTCCCCCCTCCCCCACCACTCTTAGGGCAGAAACCCCCTCCCTCTTCCAGACTTGTTGGGAGGCTGGCAGACAGTGTACCCAGGCCCTCCCCATCAGTCCTCACCTTCAAGTCCACAGATGGTTCTCCCAGGGTGGGGAGGATCCTGCTGAGGCGCTGAGCAATGAGATGGGTTTGACCTGTGTTCCAGCTGCCTGCGGTGATCTCAAGGACTCTCTGTAGTCTCATTGCCTCCTGGTGCACACTCTAGGCCTGGCTCCCCTCTTCCACCTGCCCTGGCTGAGCAAAGGATTGGGGGTAGAAGAAAAGGCCCAAATAGTAACATTCCCTTCCCTTCCCCCCCCCCCCCCCAATCTCCACAGATCCTACAGCAAGCAGAGGGCAGCCATTGAACGGGAGTATGGGCAGGTATGGGACTCCTTTCTCTAGACCTACCCTTTTGTTCTGGCCTCCTTTACACTCCACACATACTCCTGTTCTGGTCAAGAGCAAATGCCTAGAGTCAGGCAGATTTCTATTAAATCCCTTTTGTGCTATTTATTAGATGTGTGACCTTTAGACAAGTTACTTAACCTTTCTTGGCCTCGGTTCCTTTCTCTGTAAAATGGGAATAACAATAATTGTCCCTTCATGTAGGGTTATTGTGAGGGTGGACTAAGTTAGTGCCTGTAAAACACTTACAAAGTGAGAGGCACACGATACACATCTGGTGAGTGGCATTGTTCTCTTCTGACCCCATATTCTCCCAGTTGGGGGGAGTCTTGGGAAGGGAACTGGGTCTGTGATGACTTTTCCACCAGGCGCTCCAGAAGCTGGCTGGGCCGTTCCTGAAGAGGGAAGGGTGCCGGAGTGGGGAGATAGACAGCAGGTGGGTCCCATGGAGGGGGAGGGCAAGGGACCAAGGAGGGATGAAGGTTCAACCGCAGGAACCTGTGCGGATGAAGGCCCAGTGAGGGAGGAAGGCATGGGAGCTGACACAGCAGCGGGAGAGGACTGACCCAGCAAGGACACTGTAGGCGGGGGTGGAGGACATGAGTGATCCTTGTGGCTGAGCTAATGGGCTGATCGATTGAGGGCTCCCAGACGAGGGGGATGGGAGAGCACTCCGTCTCTCATGGTGTTGGGGGTGGGTGTCTTGTGAAGCTTTGTAGTGCTTCCCTCTCCAACATAGACCTTCTCTGGGGGGAGGCAGGATGGTGTTTGGTGCCTGGCGCTGTCTGCTGGATGCCACTGTGGCTGGGGGCCAAGCCCGGCTCCAGGCGTCCGACCGATACCGTGACCTGGCAGGGGGCACAGGACGGAGTGCCAAGGAGCAGCTGCTAAGGAAGGTATGGCTCAGTAGATGGGGCGAAGGAAGGGCTGGCTCAGGGCTGTGGGTGGTCTGGGGCAGACTCTGTGTGTCCATCCCCCTAGGGGGCAGAGAACCTCCAGAGGGCACAGGCTGAGGTGCTGCAGTCTGTCCGGGAGCTGAGCCGAAGTCAGAAGCTGTATGGGCAGCGGGAGCGTGTGTGGGCATTGGCACAGGAGAAGGCGGCTGATGTCCAGAACAGGTGGGGTCATAGGGAGTTAGGAGCCTGGGGTGGGGGTGAGGGCGTGGCCTAATCTTGACTCCTCTCCCTTTCCTGCTTAGGCTAAACCGAAGTGACCATGGGCTCTTCCACACTCGGACCAGTCTCCAGAAACTCAGCGCCAAGGTTCGGAGATGCAGGCACATGTTGGGGCAGGGAAGGGGTGGGTAGAGTAGTCTAGTGGTTTGCAACCCAGGGGCATAAGTCTGAGAGCCTGGGATGCATTCAGGCTTCCCTATTTCCTTGATGGGTGACCTTGGGTTAACTTGATTTCTTTGAGCCTCATTTTCTTCATCTGTAAAATGAAAATAGTGCCTTTCTCTTCCATTCTTGGAATATGCATTTATTGAGGACTTCTGGGTACTAAGCACCATTCTAAACACTGGGATTCAGTGGAGAACGCTACCAATGGAGTTCCTATCCTTATAGCCCGGTCAGGAGAGACAGATAGTAAAAACAAAACAAAACCAACAACAACAACAACAACAACAACAACAACACAAAAAAAACAATCACGTTAAGTGAAAATAAAACGTGCTCTGATAAAGGATAAAAAGGGGCTGTAATTTAGGACAGCCTCTCTGAACAGGTGGCCTGAGTGTTAAAAAGGAAGTAGCCATGCAAAGATCATGGAAAGGTCAGGGGAGGAACATTCCAGGGAGAGCAAAGGCTCGGAGGCAGAATAACTCTGTAGGCTCCAGGAACTCAGGGACGGCCAGTGTAGCCAGAGCACTGTGAGCGAGGGGACAGACACGGGGAGAGGTCAGGGTGGGTGCGGGGGCCAGCTCCTGCTGGACCTGGTAGACCACGGTAAAGAGCGGCCAGACATGACCCCACTCATTTGTGGATAAATAAAGATCATTATAAACTGATGAACCAAAAGATAGATATAGAGACAGTAAAGCAACAAGCAGATTGTCAAATTACAGCGGGGAGGGGAGGAGGGTCTGGGAGACATAATAAATCAACCCAAGGACTTGTAAAAAAAAAAAAAAAAAATTCTTAGAAAAAAAGAAAAAGAAAAAAAAAAAGAGCGGCCAGGATGTCATTTCAAATGTACACAGATACCCCTGGAGGATGTGTATATTTTTAAGAATGGTGTCAAGCATCTCAATAATGTTAGAATCTATTCTGGAGTTGGTTGGCCTTGGAAGGACCATAAGGGTTCCGGGTTCATGTTGACACCCTGTTTTCCCCTCCTAGCTCTCCACACAATCGGCCCAGTACTCCCAGCAGCTGAAAGTGGCCCGCAATGAGTACCTGCTCAACTTGGTGTCCACCAATGCCCACCTTGAACACTACTACCAGGAGGAGCTGCCCGCGCTGCTCAAGGCCAGTGCCAGCCTCGATCCCCCTGCTTCTCAGCGGGAAAGGAGGGGAGGACCAGCAGCAGGCTGGGCGGTGGTAGAGTTGGTAGAAAATATATAGTTGGGTTCTGGTTCTGCTTCTGACTGGTGGCATGACATTGTGCAGGATGCTTCACCCCTCTGAACCCCAGTTTCTTCTTCAGGAGTAAACCCTGCTCTGCCTCCTTTTAAGACTAATGGGGCCCAAGGGGGAAAATGGCTGTGAAAATTGCTTTTTAAGTGGTTAAGTACTGGGCACACCAGGGCTTATTATTAGAAGCAATTCGTAGTGTCTTATTCCTTTCCCCTTCCCCATACCTCATGCCCATCACCCATTCAAACCTGGACAGAGAGCCTGCTTTGTAATAAAGGCCCGAGGGAAGGGTGGTGTCAGTATCTTGGGGTTCTTTCAGGCCCTGGTCAGCGAGCTGTTGGAGCACTTGAGGGACCCTCTGACCTTACTGAGCCGCACTGAGCTGGAAGCCGCAGAGATGGCACTGGAGCACGCCCGCCGGGGAGCGCAGGCCACCTCTCAGGTGAGGGCAGTGCCTGATACCCGCTCCCAGCGATGCTCTGTACTCGCTCCTGAAAGAGACCACCCACTGTGTGTCTCTCCCCGCTTCTTCTCACCTTGTCCTTTCTTCCAAGAGCGGACAGGCTAGGAGAGGGAGCCAGTTCAGGGCTGACTGACTTCTTCCATCCCCTAGGTAAGCTGGGAGCAGGATCTGAAGCTCTTTCTTCAAGACCCCGAGGTGTTCTCCCCCATACCGCCGCAGAAGTTTCAGCCCGCGGGCAGTGACCAGGTGAGACCTCCCTGGCTGTTGGAACCAGGTCACATGTAAAGGGGACTGGAGTTTAGGCCCATCCCCGTTATCCTTCCGATGATAGTAACGCAGTAACCTAAACCGTGGAGAGGAGGTTTCGGAGGCCAGTTCCCCTCTCTCCCACCAGGCACAAATGAACACACTTAATCCCACCGTTCGCTCTCTTCACCGCGCTATCCTCCTCATTCTACATCTGTCCCTCAACTGGGATCCCGTTTCTGGGACTCTCTCTGAGTCTGTGTTCACGTGAACGCACACCTGTGTTCACAGTCATAGGTGTGTACCCCACCTCTGTCCCTGGAGGTCAGGACAGAGACAAGTAAAAAGAGGAAGGAACAGCATCAGGTCCTCCCCACAGCCCTCAGGCCTCCCTCCCCCCCATGATTTAGGTATGTGCCTTGGAGCTGGAGGGGGTCGCTGGCGGTGTGGCTGGGGAGAGTGACCTGGAGAAAGAGGTTCAGCGCTGGACGAATCGAGCTGCCCGAGACTACAAGATCCAGAACCATGCGCTTCGGGTGAGGAGGGGGGTGCAGGTGTCATGGTGGACGAGAATATCTGAGAGACGGAGATCCTGGGGTCACTGGGGATGTCCTCGTGCGGGCAGGAGGGGGGCGGGGGAAGGCATTTTAAGCCAACTGTGCGGCAGAGAAGTCAAGAGCACAGCTTTTGGAGCAAGACCCACCTGGGTTCACTTCCTGCTCTGTTGCTTCCAGGTTAGGTAACCCTGACCAAGGGAGTGACTTCATCTCTCTGGACCTGTTTCCTCATCAGTAGATCAGGACGAATACTAGCACCCACCCCCTAGGGAAGATCAAATGATACAAAGCATATGAAGGCACCAGCAAAGTGCCAGGTCCATGGAAGTTGTGTCCCACAGCATCTCCGTCACCCTGTCCTCTGCTCCCAATCCAGGTGCTGCAGCGGCTGGAGCAGAGGCGGCAGCAGGCTCCAGAGCGGGAGGCTCTGAGCATAGAGCAGCGGCTGCATGAAGTAAGGCAGAGCATCCTGCGGGCACAGGTGAGACACTCCGGGGTCAGGGGACCTGAGATCCCGCCTCGTCAGCCAACACCTTCCTCTCCTCCGTCTGATGGAGGAGCTAAAGGGTGAACATATTTGGGGAGGCTCTGCTCACCTCCCCAACACAAGCCCAGCCATAGACTGGATCTCTCTTCCCCATGCCAGGTGAGCCAGGTGAAGGGGGCCGCCCGGCTGGCCCTGCTGCAGGAGGCTGGCCTGGATGTCCAGCACTGGCTGAAGCCAGCCATGACCCAGGCCCAGGATGAGGTGGAGCAGGAGCAGCGGCTCAGCGAGGCCCGGCTGTCCCAGAGGGACCTCTCTCCCACGGTGAGCTCCTTCCGCTCCCTGCCCGCACACACCCAGGGGGGCAAAAGTCGCTGGTGGACGTCAGGCCCAGTAAATTGGGAATCACAACAGTACCTACATCAAAGGGTTGTTCTGAGGCTTACATGAAACCACTTAAGTCTAATTCTTCGCATGTTTATAGCATAGAATCCCCAACAAACTTGTATGGAGTATAGGACAGTGGTTATGAGCCAAGGTTCTGGGGACGGACCGTAAGTGATTTGTCACTTATTACCTGTGTGATCTTGGAAAGTTACTTACCCTTTCTGAGCCTCAGTTTTCTCCTAAGTAAAATGAGGTTAATAGTGATACAAAATAACAGTGGGTTAGGATGAAGTTTAAATAAGAGGACATACATAAGATCCTTCATTAGCTCTGTGCCTGGCACGTGGTAAGCACCCAGGACTCTTAACTCTGCAGTCACCGTTAGTCATATCCTGCCCTGTGGTGACTTTTCTTGTGATATCTGATGAACGGATGGGTGGTACTACCTTGGAGGAGGACCCACCGAGTTCTTCAATGGGAGGATGGAGGAGAGGGAGATACAGTGGGTACTTGGGAGTGACAGTGACGTCTGTTCTCTGTTCCCCTCCAGGCGGAGGATGCTGAGCTCTCTGACTTTGAGGATTGTGAGGAGGCTGGAGAGCTCTTTGAGGAGCCCGGCCCCCCAGCCCTGGCGACCAGGCCCTTCCCCTGCCCCGCACATGTGGTGTTTGGTTATCAGGTATGGATTGGGGGGTGGGGACCTCAGCTGGACAGGGATGAGGGACAGCCAAGTCCTAAATCCTTCCTTGTGGGGCCCAGGCAGGACACGAGGATGAACTGACTATCACAGAAGGCGAGTGGCTGGAGGTCATAGAAGAGGGAGATGCTGACGAATGGCTCAAGGTGGCTATGGACCCTGGGCTCTGACCTTGGGAGTTGGGGGCAGTGGAGGGACTTCCCTGTGGCCCACAAGGACTCAGCCAAGCAAAGCCAGAAGCCTGAGTGGAGGAGGGTCAGGGCCATGGCTATTATCTGTTCTCATTCCTGGGTGAGCAGGCTCGGAACCAACATGGCGAAGTAGGCTTCGTTCCTGAGCGCTATCTCAACTTCCCCGACCTCTCCTTCCCTGAGAGTGGCCACGACAGCAACAATCCCTCAGGGGCAGAGCCCACAGGTAAGAAAGGAGAATTCTTGGTCAAAGGATGCTGGGTGTGGAGGAGAGTTACTGGGAAGCTGTGACCCTAAGGTGTCATGGTCCTGGGCACCACCACTTCCTCCACTCCTCACCATCTCTCCCGGGTTTCTGCAGCATTCCTGGCCCGTGCCCTGTACAGCTACATGGGACAGAGTGCAGAGGAGCTGAGCTTCCCTGAGGGGGCGCTCATCCGCCTGCTGCCCCGGGCCCAGGATGGAGTGGATGACGGCTTCTGGAGGGGAGAATTTGGGGGCCATGTTGGGGTCTTCCCCTCCCTGCTGGTGGAGGAGCTGCTTGGTCCCGTAGGGCCACCTGAGACTTCAGACCCTGAACAGGTGAGGCGCCCTGAGTTGACCTTCCCATCCCATTGAGGCCCCATATTCATCTTAACACTCCCTCCCCTCTCCAGGTTTACCTCCCATAGTGGCTTGGGCCTCCCCATCTCCTATGGCTGGCTGAGAAAAAAGAAACCAAGGCAGTCTTCCTAAGAGTTTGGTGGTGCTACTTTAGTGCTAGATAGCTCTGAGTTCTGGTGCCCCTTACATTACCTAGGGCAGTTGTTTGACCTCACCAACTTCTTTCTTTATGTGTAAAAAGGGAATAATACCTACTTTAGCAAGCCCACTATCCTGCCTGTGGATAATGGCGGTAAAGCCCTTAGCCCGGAGGCCCACAGGAGGTGCTTTAAAATACAGTACTTGGCCGGAACCGGTTTGGCTTAGTGGATAGAGCGTCGGCCTGCGGACTGAGGGGTCCCGGGTTCGATTCCGGGCAAGGGCATGTACCTTGGTTGCGGGCACATCCCCAGTAAGGGGTGTGCAGGAGGCAGCTGATGGATGGTTCTCTCTCATCGATGTTTCTGGCTCTCTATCTCTCTCTTCCTCTCTATGGAAAATCAATAAAATATATTTAAAAAAAAATATATAGTACTTGCCCTAGCTGGTTTGGCTCAATGGATAGAGCATTGGCCTGTGAATCAAAGAGTCCCAGGTTCAGTCCCAGTCAAGGGCATGTACCTTGGTTGCAGGCTCCACTCCAGCCCAGGCCCTGGTCTGGGCACATGCAGGAGGCAACCAATCGATGTGCTTCTCTCACATCAGTGTTTCTGTATTTCCCTCTCTCTTTCACTCTTTCTAAAAGATCAATGGAGCCGAAACTGGTTTGGCTCAGTGGATAGAGCGTCGACCTGTGGACTGAAGGGTCCCAGGTTTGATTCTGGTCAAGGGCATGTACCTTAGTTGCTGGTACATCCCCAGTAGGGGGTGTACAAGAGGCAGCTGATGGATGATTCTCTCTCATCAATGTTTCTAACTCTCTATCCCTCCTTCTTCCTCTCTGTAAAAAAAAAAAAGCAATAAAATATATTAAAATAAATAAATAAATAAATAATCAATGGAAAAATATCCTCGGGTGAGATTAACAAAAAATAAATTTAAAAAATTAAAATACAGCCGAAGCCAGTTTGGCTTAGTGGTAGAGCGTCGGTCTGCGGACTGAAAGGTCCCAGGTTCGATTCCGGTCAAGGGCATGTATAATACATTGGTTGCGGGCACATCCCCGGTAGGGGGTGTGCAAGAGGCAGCTGGTCGATGTTTCTCTCTCATAGACGTTACTAGCTCTCTATCTCTCTCCCTTCCTCTCTGTAAAAAAATCAATAAAAAAATATTTTTTAAAATAAATAAATAAATAAAAATAAAAATTTAAAATACAGTACTTATTATTATAATGCAGCGAGAAGAGCATAGGAGTGGAAGTCAGGAGACCCTGGCTCTAGCCAGGACTCTGCCACTAACTGGTTCTCTGATTTTGGCTTGATGGCTTAATCTGAGTCTTGCCCTTAATGCAGGATTTGTAAAGATCCCTACTTCATGGGGTGGTGGCGGGAAGTGAATGAATTGGTGCATGTGGAGTGCTAGCAGAATGCCTGGGACATAGTGTCAGTACACAGCATGCAAGCAATTGGCTGTGGAAATGCGTATCAGCTACAACCCTCATCCAGATACAAAAATTTGGCACTCTTGGTATTGGGGAGTGATAGGACAGGGACTGAAGATGGGATGAGAGAACAAGCTGGTGAGACCTTCCCACATGCCAGAACTAACTATGCCCCTCATCCTCAGATGCTGCCATCCCCTTCTCCTCCCAGCTTCTCCCCTCCTGCACCCACCTCTGCCTTGGATGGGGCCCCCGCACCTGTCCTGTCTGGGGGTAAGTAAAGGGAACTAGGGGGTTTGGGAGGGAAAGTGGCTGGAAGAAGGAGGAATCTTGGGATGCCTGGGTTACGCTTGGGAACCTCTGCCATCAGGCTCCTTGAGGCATGATAGTGAGAAGAGCTTGGGCTGTGGGGCCAGGCCCAGTGTTCCCACTCCACTCTATGACTGCCTAGTGTGTGATTTGGGGTGGAATATTTAACCTGTCTGGGTCTTTACAGAGTGGAGTTGTTGCGAGTTAGAAAGATGTCTGTAGAGCCCTAGCTGGTTTGACTCAGTGGATAGAATGTCAGCCTGCGAACTGGAAGGTCCTGGGTTTGATTCTGGTCAAGGGCACATGCCCAGGTTGTGGGCTCGATCCCCAGTGGGGGAAGTGCAAGAGGCAGCTGATTAATGATTCTCTCTTATCGTTGATGTTTCTATCTCCCTTTCCCATCCTCTCTGAAATTAATAAAAATATTTTTTTAAAGGTGTCTGTAAAAGTATCCAGCATTGTACCCGGCACATAGCAAGCATGCAAGCAATTGCTGTGTTCTCATTCTTTTGAAAATTAGCCAGCTTCTTCTACAGTGTTTCCCAATACACATCCTCTGCTCTTAAGTCTTTTTTGAATGTTGCAAACACCTGGGTTTGTGTTATAATTTTCCTTCTTGGAGTGTTCACCTTTGCTAAAGTCTTCCGGTACTTACACTCTCTTCACATAGCCTCCTTCCTTAGCTCACTTGGAATGATTTAGCACGCAGTCATTTATTGTGCTTGTTGTGTTTCATTGTTAGGTTCCTGGCAACCACTGGAGGTGGGGGGTGGGGGTGCTGTGGATGCCACCTCCCCTTCTCTGATACCGTGAGCAAGGCTGATTATTCAGTAGATGCCCATAAGTGTTGAGGATGGATAGACTGATGGACTTTATGGCCAAGTTGGTGACTGTTTGTTAATTCGACAAGTATTTATAGAGTGCCACTGTCTTAAGTGCTGACGATGTAGCAATGAATAAAACAAAGTCTGAAGACTGACTTGTGATTCCTGTTTCCAGACCAAGACCTGAACTGCCCTGGATCCCTGGACATGATGGTGCCTCGACTCAGGCCGGTAAGAGCCTCTCCCTGGAGGAGACTGTGTAGGGAGGAGTTATTCCACCTTGTCCTGTTTTGTCTGTAGGGCCCAGGGAATGAACAGGGACATCCCCAATAGAGGCCTCTGGAGCACTGACTGTGTGTTCCCTACAGGTGCGTCCACCGCCTCCCCCGCCAGCGAAAGCCCCGGATCCTGGCCGTCCAGACCCCCTCACCTGAAGCCAGGGGGACTACTGCCCCCGCCGAGATGCTGCTGCTGCCCTGTCTCCTTGCTGTCAGAGACCACCTTCAGTGATCCGGAGTGACACAGCCAGAAGCTGGAATCTCCCCCATTTCTGCTCTTATCTCCAGGGGTAGAAACTGCCCCTTTTCCGATTCTGAGTCTGGCACTCCTCCTTTCCCCCACATTGTCCGTCCTCTTACTGTCTCTAGGGCTTGAACCACCCCTTTCTTTTTTATTACCACTTCAGCTCTGGAGTGGTGAGATACCCTGAAATCTCTGGGGCTGGACCCCATCCCCCAAAGTCTTGAGAGGCTCTGGACAGTCTGTCTCCACCCTGGCTCTGTCACCCACCCCATTCCCGATGCCAGGGCCACAGGGGTTGGGGGCGGACCTGTCAGAAGGAGTTGGAGCCATTATGTGAAACAACTGTAATGGTCTGAGCAGATTTATTGACAGTGAATAAAGGGCATGATGCCCAAGCCAGGGCTTGGGCCTTTTGTGCCAAGAGGGCAGGGGGGGCGGCGGGTCTAAGGTGCTATTGCTTTAAGGGGCCTGATCCCAGTTGCCACACACTAGCCCATGGAGCAAGGTGATGGGGAACGTGGGTCAGGCAGCCTGTTGGCAGACAAGGAAAGGGGACTGAGGGATGGGGGTGGGTGGGTGCCTTCTCCCAGTGTCCTCCAGGCTGAGACCGATTAGGACTGGTCCCTCAGCCGGGGGCAGTGCTGTTCAGTGGAAAGTAGAGGTTTCATGGCCACCCAGCCCCTGGCTCTGCAACTGGTAGTTCTTCAGCAACGAAGAAGGAGGCTTGGGGGAGAGGAAGGGTAATAGTGTTGCCTCCTAGTCATGTTGTATTCCAGCTTTCCCCCGGGGGCTGTGGTACCTTCCCTCTTCCCTGGAGGGCATGCCTGCTCCCCACCACCAAACCGAAGACTATGTAGCAAAGGAAAAGCCTGCTGTTTACTGGGGAAGGGGGGTGGAGAGTGCAGGGAGCCAGCCAATGGGCTTCAATAGTGTAAATAGGGGGTGGGAGGATGAGATTATCTGACTTGAAGCCCAGGCACACTTACCTCACACACCTTTTGGTCCCCGTGCTGGAGACACCTGAGTGAGAGGAGCGGTCAACAGTAGGAGAATAGGATCTGAGTCATATCAATGCACCGTCCCCAGAGCAAAGGGCAGTAAGAGCTCAGCCCACCACAGCCTGGCCGTGTCCTCATACCTGGCGATCGGACGAGTCCGGTTTGCTCGGCTGTCCATTTGCCCCTTGGCTGGCCAGCCCTGGGCTTGGGCCCCTCCCTCCAGCCGCCAGCGGTGACTCTGCAGAGGCTCCAGGGCTCCCTCCAAGTGCACACGGGTCTAGGTTGCTGTCCCTGAGTCCGTTCTGCACTGCGGGGCTGGCAGGGGCCTGAGGCTGTGGCCCCTCAGGGGGCAGGCTTTCAATGGCTGGCATCCCTGTCCTGGACTGCCCTTCCCCAGACCCTTGACTGCCCCCTGGGTCCTGCCCTCCACCAGACCCCCAGCTCCTGTCTGTGGGGGAGCCATCGTGATGCTCATGCAGTCCATAGCGCCTCTCGATGTGTGTCACCCGGAACCTGGGAGGGAAGGGAACACTGGTCTTAGGATCACAACTCAGAAACTGCTTGGCCCTCCCCTCCAACCCGGGATGTCTTTGGTTTGACGGCCACATCCCTGTAGCCTAGGGCAGCGGAGACCTCGGATTGTGGGGCAGGTTGCTGTAGGTCACGGTGGGACCCACCTTTGGAGTCAGGATCCCCCACCTTAACCTCCCTTGCTCCGCGGCACTGTGTCCCCACCTGCCCACAGAGAAAACGGTGGTCTCCCCAGGCCGGGGACGGCTCTTTCCTTCCTTGGAGCGTCCCTGACGGACCAGCGGGGGCCTCTTGTTGCGGCTGCAGTGGATGCAAGGGGCTGCAGAGCCCAGGTGCACTGTGTGATGATGGGACGGGGCTCCATCCTGCAGGCTGGAGGTGGCATCCACACTGGACGGTAGAGAGGAAGGGAGTGGGGGTGACATTTCCATTCCTCATCCTGTTCTGTTTGTTTCTGTTCTTTCAGCCTGCTCCTGAAGCCTCCAGATGCCCACTCTCCCCAGGCCCCAACATTCTTTTCTGTCTCTATCCAATAAACTCAACATTAAGGTGGTAGTGATCACGTGGTCTCCTTCCCAGAGCTGTTTTCTAAAAAGAGGGCAGTGCTTAACCCAAAGGAGTGAATGGAAAGCTTGAATGTAATTCACAAAGGATGAATGCAAAGCTTGATGGTATCCAGAAGGGAGGTATGATGTGAAGGACTTGAGATTCCTATAAAACTTCTTTCTTCCTATAGGTTAGCCAGCTTTGCCCTCCTTCCCCTTCCCCCCCCCCCCACCCCCAACCCCAAACATGCAAGGAGACTGGGAGACGATTGTGCTGGAGGAGAGGGTACTCTCCAAGGCAAGCTAAGTCATGCTGGCCTTCGTCTCCAGCTCACCTGGACAGCTGCACTGTCCCTTCTCCTTCACTGTCCCCCAGCATCTCCTTCAAGGCCTCAGCATTGGCTGAGGGGAGAAGGAAAAGGAGTCAGTGGAGGTGGAGGTCAGGGCAAGAGAAAGTCAGGGGGTGGGTGGGGGTGGGGGAGCTTACACACACCTTCATTTTGGATGATACAGCGAACAATCCTCTCTACTGTGTCCTCATTCATGTCATCGTCGTCAGCTAAAGGGGGGGAAAAAAAGTTGACAAGGAATTGGAAGCGAGTCAGCTTTGGGGGACACTATGGCTCCTGTGGCTGATTGCTCACGATAGAACCTTGTGCCTATGTGTCATCGTGCTGGGCATTAGCATTTCAGGGGCCAGGGCAGAAAAGATGAGGAAATCAATGGGAGCCCAAGGTTACCATCAGCGGGGCCCCACCCCGCCATGCTGCCTTCTCTAGCCTTGCTTTCAGGGTGGTGTCACCCCACCTGCTGACCCAAGCAAGCATCACAAGGTCTTTTGAAGGCTTGGCTGGGACGTGGCTGGGTCTGTTGGCCAGGAAGGCAGACAGAGGTGTAGGGACAAGGGTAAGGAAAAAGGTGACTGAGACAGGTTCTAGGCTCCTCACTCACGGGGCTGGAGCTGGGTGTCATCGGGCTCCGAGCCCCTGGACGTGCGGCAGCGGTAACCTTTCTTCTTGAGCACGTGGCAGATCATGAAGCCCACGAGCCCCATGAGGAAGAAGACCAGCACAAGCAGGAAGAGCATGTACAGCCCATGTTGGGGTGGCTCCAGGTCAGGCTGTGGTTCCGCCATGAGGCCCTGGGGGGCGAGCGCGGGCCAGGACGCCTCCTGGGGTTTGGGGGCTGCGGCTAGGAAGGATTGGGGGAAGGGACAGAAATGCCATCCTCAGGATCTGAAACAGGCACGGCTCGGAGGTCCAGCCCCACCCACCAGGGAGCTGTCCGAGCCTGGAGTGCTGGTCAGAGCCAGGGGTGCTGGACCACGGCTGTGCAAGCCCTCTCCCCCTGGTCCCGCTTTCCCGACGCCCACAGCGCTCCCCTTCCTAGTTTGTCCTGCGCTCCCGTCCCTTCCAAGGACACCACAGAGCGAGATGGGACGGAATTCTCAGGCGGTCAGCGCAAGAATCGCGCCTGAGTCAGCGTCCGCACCGGCCTGAGCCAGGCCTCTGCAGCCCCCCTCACTAGTTTGTACTCCAGCATCCTCCCCCCCTTTTTCGGTTCCTCCCGTTCTGACCACCTGGCCCACCCAGTACCGGTGGTTTGGTTCTGGCTTCGGCTCCGACTCCTGCTCGGGTTCCGGCTCGGAGGGGGGTCCTAGTCCGGCTCAGGGCCCCCGACGCCCGCCCGGCTCTCATCCCTCGCTTCCTTCCCCTCCCCCCTTCGCCGCCTCACCGGCTCCGGGCTGCGGCTGCAGATACCGGTGCCGCGGCAGGCGGGGGGGAGGGAAGGATAGAGAGGGATGCAGCCTGGCTGGGAGCAGCGGCAGATTCCGGATAACTCCGGCCCGGAAAGGAGAAGAGATGGCAGATGGCGTGCGCCGCCGCCGCAGCCACCCTGGGTTCCCAAAAGCCTTCGCCTGTCGCCGGCCCAGGACCAGGGGGCGGAGCGCAGGTGTGCGGGGCGGAGAGCGCGGGCCGTGCGCGCTGGTGAACGCAAATGTGGTGTGCGGCGCGTGACTGCGCCGGCCCCCACCCCCCGCCCCGGGAGTGTGCGGCGCCCAGCCTGGGTCCGGGTGCGGTGGCCAGCCAGGCAGGGGAGTGTGTCCTCTTGTCTATCCGGCACGCCTGGCGCGGCTCCCGCCCTTAGATACCCAGGCCGAGTGGGCAGCCAGGAATCTCCCCAGGGGGCCGGGAGGGAGCCGGCTTTCTGAACAGGAGAGGGGGCGGCGTGGCCGGCTCTCCGGAGCCGTCTGGAGAGGTGGCCACGGCAGGCACCCGGTGTAGGACAGGTGGCTGGACGGGAAGTCTCAGCTTCTCAAAGATCTGACCCCACGCCTGGGAGGAAACGGCCCTCGCATCCTAAGACAGATGCTACCGGTCTTCTGCCCGAGCCCTGACGCTCACGCCCTGAACAGAGCCGCAGGGGGCGTGTCTTGGGCGTGGCCGAGAGAGGGCGGGGCCTGGGTTCCCGGTTCCCGCAGAGGCCGGCGACGTGCTGACGCAGCACGTACGTACGACGGGAGGCGGGGCCGGCGGCCGGGCGAGCGGCTGAGGCGCGGGGCCTGGTCCCGCGGGCACCATGGCCAAAACCGTGGCCTATTTCTACGACCCGGACGTGGGCAACTTCCACTACGGTGAGGGGACAAGGTGGTGGGACCCGACAGGTTCGGGACGCGGAGGTTTTGAGACGGGGTCGGACTTTCTTCACTGACGGACTCTCTTCTCTACTCCCAGGGGCTGGGCACCCTATGAAGCCTCACCGCTTGGCACTGACCCACAGTCTGGTCCTGCACTACGGCCTCTACAAGAAGATGATCGTGAGTTTCGCCGCCTCCACTGCGGGTTTGAGGGTGGGGGGCCGAGCTGCGGCCCTAAACTAGGTAGGCCGCACTGAATGCACCCAGAGAGACCCACCCGAGGGTGGGGGTGGGGCAGGCTGGATGGTAGGAACCAGGAGCACCCCTCCCCCCCATGCATAGTGCTGGTGAGTGCACGCACCGATTTAAGGGGAGTTACTCTCTCACCTTAGGTCAGCCACCCTTTGACCTCAGGTGGACCAACTCTTGACGGATTAGGGTGGAGTGGGGCTGGTTTGAAGACTTGGAAGATGTTTTTCTTCCTAGAATTTTAGGGTGTGGGCAGTGCTTTTAGCCTCAGAGAAGGGAAAGGGGATGTGAAGTTTACTCTCAGTTTCTATCCCTTCTCCTCTGCAACCCGTCTCCACCAACAAGGAGCTGAAGCTCCAGGGAGGACCATAGCCCTGTGTGTACACGTGTATGGAGGATAGCAGATGTTCTGGGTATTACTTTTTAAACCCCTACACAGATAATCACTACCCAACCCTTCATCTCCCAGGGAAACATGCTGTCGGTCCCTAGCTTGGAATTTGTAGCTGTGATATGCGGTTATAAACAGTTAAGCTCAGCCCTCATGCGTTGCAAGGGGAATTAGTTAACGTATGAATGAGTGTCCATGGCTTGTGCTGAGCCACAGGCAGTATATTGGTCACGGAAGAGATTGAGGTGATGTTGGTGCATGAATCTATGAATTCCTGAAATCTTTGGCTGGCTTGTACATTTTTTTGGGGAGAGAAAGTCTTTTTGGTTTTGCCCAGTTTCTAAAGAAGTATGAGACACCCTCCTCCCCCTCATCCCCACTCCCCAGGTACTTTGGGCTTTAGAAGATGTTCATACATCCCATATTATTTGATTCCAAAAGCACTCAGAGACAGAAAGAGGAGAACCGGAGCCCAGGGGAGGAGATGGGTATGGAGAGAATGAGGAGTAGGAGATCCAGGGAAGAGGGCAGTGGATCAAGGCTCGTAGTCGACAAGTAGGGAAGGCTAGGCTGGAGGTGGGAAGGAAAAAGGCCAGTCCAGTGGTCTTTAGGGGGCTTGATCCTAACAAACCACCCAGCTTATCAGAGCCTCTCTTCTGCCTCAGCATGTCAAGGACTCGGGGTAAGGGTACTGCAGACGTGGTTTTGGGTGATGATCCCCAGTGTGGGTGGTCTCAGTTCCATGATTGAGACTCACCCTGCCTGGATTCATCTTGTGTTTCTGTCCTGAGGTCTTCAAGCCATACCAGGCCTCCCAGCATGACATGTGCCGCTTCCACTCTGAGGACTACATTGACTTCCTGCAGAGAGTGAGCCCCACCAACATGCAAGGCTTCACCAAGAGCCTTAACGCCTTCAACGTGGGCGATGACTGGTGAGAAGATAGGACTTTTGGTGCCAGGCGTTTCAAGGAGAACACTTGAGTGAGGTCTTGGAGGCAGTAAGTGGGGAGATGCTGAGTCAGCGAGTCATCATTTACTCATTGGTTTATTCAATAAATATTTATTGGTCATTTATAGGCCAGGCCCTGTGCCAAATACTGGGGATGCAATGATCAACAATAGCAAAATTTTAATATTATAGTTATGGTGAGTCCCCTAAAGGAAGGGTACATGACAGCATATGAGGGTATATATGAGGGAGAATTACCCAGCTTTGGGAGTCCCGGCAGTGGAGGTTTCCTGGAGGAAGTAATAAAGATTAAGCTGAGATCTGAAAAGAAAGAATAAGAGGTAATTAGGTAACAATGGTTGGGAGGAGAGTGAGGGGAGGAATGTCATGGGCAGTAGGGATGACATGTGCTAGGGTCTGTGGTAGGATAGAATATGATTCATTTGAGGAACAAAAATGGCCGACTGCAGAATATGAAGAGAAGAGTGATCTGAATTGAGGCTGCAGTGATAGGCAAGGCCTTTAAAAAATAGACAGCCCTATGATGAATTGGAGTTTTTACCCCTAGAAGAGAGGCAAGCCTTCAAAGTGTTTGAAAAAGCAAGAGAGTGAGTAGATGTGATCAGGTTTACATGATTGGGCTTGTACTATACCAAGAAAATTTAGACCCTTTGGGAAATGGAATGGGTAAGAAAAATAAGCCCTGATCCTTGCTTACATTCTAGTGTACACCCATGAAAAAGAGTGACCATAAAAGCTACCATTTACTCAGTTTACTTTTAAACTTTTTATTAGGGAAAATTTCAAACATTTCTGAAAGAATAGTACAGCAAACTCCATACATTCATCATGCAGCTGAAACACTTGTAAGCAAATTTTCATCTATATCCCCTCACCTTAGGTTATCTTTTTTTTTTTTTTTTTTTTTTTAATATATTTTATTGATTTTTTTACAGAGAGGAAGGGAGAGAGATAGAGAGCTAGAAACATCAATGAGAGAGAAACATCGACCAGCTGCTTCTTGCACACTCCCTGCCGGGGATGTGCCCGCAACCAATGTACATGCCCTTGGCCGGAATCGAACCTGGGACCTTTCAGTCCGCAGACCGACGCTCTACCACTGAGCCAAACCGGTTTTGGCTGGTTATCATTTTTTTAAAAATTTATTTTTAATTGTCACCTGATGATGTTATTTTTTTACTGATTTAAGAGAGGAAGAGAGAGAGAGAAAGAGAAAGACATTGCTATGATAGAGAAACATCTATCAGGAGGCAATGGCTGACCCCCTCACATGCCCTGACTGGGGATCGAACATGGGATGACACTCCAACCAACAAACACCCTGCAGGGATCACGTTAGATTTAAAACAATTCCCAGCCTGGCTGGTGTGGCTCAGTTGGGTGTCATCCTGTGCACCCAAAGGTTGCTGGTTCCATTCGAGGCAGCTGTTGGATGTTTTTCTCTCCCTCACCCTTCCTTTCTAAGAATAATTTTTTAAAAAATTCTCAGATATCATATTCTTTTATCTGTGAATACTTTATGTATCTCTAAATGATCCTCTTTAAAAATGCACAATGTTACTACCACACCTAAAAAATTAGCAGTAATTCCTTAATATCATCAGAGTTGCGTGCAATCAGTATTCACATTTTTTTCTATTTCTTATAATTTTCCTGTGTTGCAATTGATTGATTTATATTAGGATTACATTTGGTTGATAATGTCTCTTAAAATTCTTAATCTATAACATTTCTTTCCCCTGAATTTAATTCTTGAAGAGACCAGGCTGTTGATCCTGTAGAGTTTCCTACAATAGCTACCATTTTTTGAGCGCTTACTCTGCAATGCAGAGGATTGCTGCTACATCCACTTCTCACACTAACCCTGAAATGCGATAGTCCTTTTCCTGCTTTTGGGTATACTGAAGTTTGAGGAGATTTAGGTAACTTGCCTGAGTCACATAACTGGTCAGTGGAGATGGCAGAATTCAGATCCAGAGCCCAGGTTTTAAAATACTACCCTAGGCCAAAACCCGTTTGGTTCAATGGATAGAGCTTCTGTCTGCGGACTGAAAGGTCCCAGGTTCGGTTCTGGTCAAGGGCATGTACCTTGGTTGCAGGCACATCCCCAGTAGGGGGTATGCAAAAGGCAGCTGGTCGATGTTTCTAGCTATCTCTCTTCCTTCCTCTCTGTAAAAAAATCAATAAAATATATTAATAAATAAATAAGTAAATAAAATACTACCCTAATCTGTTTCCCTAAAATATCCTATCAATAGAAGTAGCCTGGGCTGGAGAAACAGACACCAGCCTCTCCAAGGCCTTACCAGCCTTCACACCACCAGGGAGTTGCACACCACACAGCCTGTCTTGACCACTGCAGCCGCAGAGGTCTGTCTTGCACACACTGCACTGTCATTTGGTGTTCAGTCACATGTTGCCTTGGGTGGTTTCTTGGTTTTTTGTTATTGCTGCTGCTGCTATTTCTGACTTCACTTTATAGGTCTGCGAATGCAGAGTCAGCCCTCAGGCCACAGCTGGGGCCGGGAAAGCCTTTGTGCACTGAGGGAATGCTCCTGCGGGACCCTTTGTGCAGCATCATACTGTCACACTTGTGCTTATCTGTATTTCAGATGAGAATTAGAGCTTTTCCTTTCAATTAACTTCTGACTGTTTTCAAAGCAATCTAATATAAAAGCTAAATTATGCTACGAGGCTTTTAATGGGGGGAAAAAACAAACAATAAGCCAGTCCCAGAACTGTCCCTTCCACTTACAGATCCCTCTCTCCAGTGGCAGCCACTTTTAGCTTCTTTAGCTATTTCTTCTGCCACTTACCTTTGCACTTCAAAATAATAATATTAATTTACTAGTTACTAATGTGTAATATACTTAGGTATTGCCTATTGTTTGTCAGGTACTATTCTAAATGCTTTGCAGTCATTGACTCATTTTGTCTCAACTACCCCTACAAATCAGGGTCTATGACTATCTCCTTTTTATAGATGAGAACACTTAGGCACAGAAAGTTTTATCTTGCCCTGACTCACAATCATTAGTTGTTAAAGAGTCAAGGTTTAAACCTAGGTAGTTGCCTCAGAATCTAGGCTGTTAACCATGTTACTATCCTATACTGTTTCTTATAAGATGCTCATATTGATATTTCTTAATTTAGCAATGGTCTATTAAACTCTTATAATTGAAGATGAGCATTTAGTCTCCTTATACATCACCTGGCTTCCCCTTCCCTCCTATCTTCAGAATATAGTTATATAACATTTTTTATTAAATAAGTATTCTGTGTTTATATATATATAATATATTTTTTAAAGATATATTTTTATTGATTTTTTACAGAGAGGAAGAGAGAGAGAGAGAGATTAGAAACATCGATGAGAGAGAGAGACATCGATCAGCTGCCTCTTGCACACCCCTATTGTCCATTGGTTAGGCTTATATGCATGCATTCAAGTCGTTTGGCTGATCTGGGAGGCGATGGAGGGGTTTGGATTGGGGGAGAGGTGTGGAGAGGTCCGGACAGAGATAAAACGGCTTCAACTTTCTCTTCCCCGCAGCCCAGTGTTTCCCGGACTCTTTGAGTTCTGTTCCCGTTACACAGGCGCATCTCTGCAAGGAGCAACCCAGCTGAACAACAAGGTGACCACAGCCCTGAGTCCCTTTCTCCCTTTCTGTGGCTGACTGGGCTCAGGGCTTGACCCTGACCATGAGCTCCCGTTCTGGGGGTGGGCAGGAGGACTGTGAGTTGGGTGTTTGTTTTTTAGATCTGTGACATTGCCATTAACTGGGCTGGAGGTTTGCACCATGCCAAGAAGTTTGAGGTGAGTGAGGAGGTGATGGGGGAGACTATAGCTCCTCTAAGGTTGGTCTGGATGACAGTAGGGGACAGCTGGGTGGAGGAATTGTTCCGTCCTTTATGAGACCAATGTCTTGCCATAGGCTTCTGGCTTCTGCTATGTCAATGACATTGTGATTGGCATCCTGGAGCTGCTCAAGTGAGTAACCTGGGAGGCGATGGAGGGACTTAATGAGACTCTCAGCTGACAAGATCTCAGACTGTCCTGACCCAGATCTCCATCCCCATACTTGCTTCTCCCCATTCTTCATGCTTTGCCCAGGCTGCCTCTTCCTGTGCTCTGCTGCACATTCCCTGTTGCCTGTTTACATCTCATCCTTCTCTGCACATCCCTCTCCTGTCCCTGCATCTGGGCTGGAGCCCCAGGGTTGCCCTTAGGGAACTGGTGGTGTTAGGTTTCAGGTGACTTTGGTGCAATTGGGCAGAAGCAGACTTTTGATAATCGCAGAGCTTGTGTTTGGGAGGAGTGGCAGGGGTTTTCTTCCTGGAGTCCACCTCTGCCTCAGACCCTGTCTTTGCCCTCACCCCAGGTACCACCCTCGGGTGCTCTACATTGATATTGACATCCACCATGGTGACGGGGTCCAGGAAGCCTTCTACCTCACTGACCGGGTCATGACAGTGTCCTTCCACAAATATGGAAACTACTTCTTCCCCGGCACAGGTACAGAGTAGAAATGTCCGTCCCTTTCGCACCCCTCAGCTCTTTACCGTGACTGCTCCTTCTCAGCCTTCAGGTCTCAGCTCTGCTGCTGCTTCTCAGGGAAGCCTCTCCCAACCACCCAGTTAACTACTCACCTCCTTGCCCACTATTCTCACATCCCTCTGCTTGTTTCTCATCAAGCACTCACTGCTGTTTGTATTTATTGTGGTGTTTTGTTTTGTTTACTGTCTCCCTTACTATGTTTACTCACAAAAATATAAGCTTAGTGGTATTTCCTCCATTTCATTAGTTCTCTTTATTGCTATATCCCCCGTGCCTAGTAGGCCCTCAAAAAGTATTTGTTGAATGAATGCAAGTTGCAAGGGACTTAGCTCTAGGGAGTGTGTGGTGCAGTTATGCAAATGGAACGAGAGGCCCTCAGTGTTGGTTGGGTTGAAGCAGTTGTGTTGTGGATGCCTCCCATGTGTGGCTGCTAGCCCCCACCTCCCACTTCCTGTAGGTGACATGTATGAAGTTGGAGCAGAGAGTGGCCGCTACTACTGTCTCAATGTACCCCTGCGGGATGGCATTGATGACCAGAGTAAGTACTGAAATCTTCTCCCTGCTCACTGGGCCCCTTCTTTCTCTCCTTGAGTTAACCTCTTCTGCCTGGTATTGCCTGCTGTTAGGCCAGGTATCTTTCAGGATGAATGGCCTTCAGAAGGACCATGAGCCGCCACCACCCTCCTCCCTCCTCCTGGAAACTATACAACACATTATGTGTATGTGCATTTTTCTGGGAAAAGGGTCATTAGCTTTCATCCATCACTCCAAGGGGCCTGGGACCCCTCCAGAAGTTCAGAACCAATGGTTTGTTTCCTTGGGTTGCCTCTTTCCTAGGCTATATGCTCTCTCAACCCCCTTTTTCCTTTTGTTCCCTGTCTCCCCATCCCCTTGGGGTGCCAGGTACCCATCTTTGGCCCTCTCCCAGGTTACAAGCACCTTTTCCAGCCGGTTATCAACCAGGTTGTGGACTTCTACCAACCCACATGCATTGTTCTTCAGGTAATACTGCCCGTGCCTGATTAGGAGGGCTTTTCCTAGGTTTGGGAGAAGCGAGCAGGAAAGAGCCGGTGGGGAAGGGGAGGGCAGAAGGGAAGCACACCTGGGACATTCTGATCAGTTATCTCACCCAGCTGCCTGCGCTTTTGCTTTATGCAGTGTGGAGCTGACTCCCTGGGCTGTGACCGATTGGGCTGCTTCAACCTCAGCATTCGAGGACATGGGTGAGACTTACCCTCCTGTGACTCCCACGGGTTTTCAAGTGGCCTTGGACCTCAATACAAGAGAGGGGGTTGTGGAAAAATGGGTCTTACCTCTTCTTGAGAATCAAAAATAGTGCCAAATTGCACTTGAACCAGAAAGGTCACTTTAAACAGGGTTTCCCAGCTGGTTATTTATCCTCACTAGGTTTTTATTACGCTCCTGTTATGTTCCAGACATTGTACAGGAGATGGGGACACAATGGGGAAACTCCCATGAACTTGACAGTTTAGTGTAGGAAACAGACAAACATGAGAAGCAAAGCAGGTAGATTGTTATAAATCCTATGAAAGGAAAAGATAGGAAGCTGAAATACAGGATAGCAGTGGGGAACCTTCTTTTGGATAGTACGATGTGGAAAGGATTTTCTGAGGAGTTGAAATTTGGATTGAGAACCTGAAGGCTAAAAGGAGCAAGCCCTAAGGAAGAGCAGAGAGAATGCTGTCCCACACAGAGGCTCTGAGGCCAGGAAGAGCTGGTGTGGAGAGGATGTGAAGTAAAACTAGTGAGGCAAGAACACGGAGTAAGCTGGCGGTGGTGTAGGTGAGGTCTGATAGGTGAGCAGTGGTGAGGCTGAATACAGCCTTTGGACCTGGTAAGGAGTCTAGATTATTATTACTGGAAAATCATTGAAATATATGAAGCAGGGAAGTGCCATGTTTTATTTTATTATTATTATTTTTTAAAATATATTTTATTGATTTTTTACAGAGAGGAAGGGAGAGAGATAGAGAGCTAGAAACATCAATGGGAGAGAAACATCGACCAGCTGCCTCTTGCACACCCCCACCGGGGATGTGCCCACAACCAATGTACATGCCTTGACCGGAATCGAACCTGGTACCTTTCAGTCCACGGACCGATGCTCTACCACTGAGCCAAACCGGTTTCGGCAGAAGTGCCATGTTTTAAAGTGACTGCTGTGACTGCTGCTTGGAGAAAGGTTTGGGTTTAGGGAGACGGGAGTGGAAGGGGAAGATCAGTTAGGGAGCTATTGGTGTTGTCTAGGCTGGATATGTGGTGCTGGGCTGAGGTAGAGGAGGTAACGATGGAGAGAAGTGGATGATTTGAGTTATATTATGGCTTAGAAGTGATAGCCTTTGCTGGGGCATGGATGAGAATAGATGATTAACAGGTAGGATGCCAGGATGGGTGTATAGAACAGGACTGCACTTTATTTAATTTTTTTTTTTTTGAGACACAGAAATACAATAAAGTACACATATCTCAAGGATTTAACTCAATAAATTTCACTGCCTAGGTCAAGATATAGAACCTATCTAGTTTCCTTGTGCCCCTTTCCAGACAATACCAAGAGGTGTGTTCATTGGCTTTTCATAACTACCTTTACTTAATTCCTTTGGTTTCTTTTAATAGGGAATGCGTCGAATATGTCAAGAGCTTCAATATTCCTCTCCTGGTGCTAGGTGGTGGTGGTTATACTGTCCGAAATGTTGCCCGGTGCTGGTAAGCACGCTCCCTAATTTTCCTTTTCCCCTTTGTCCAGTGTGAGCTGGGGGCTCCCTGAGGGACAGCAAGGTGGGCCCTTGAGGCCACTTGCTCAGCCTGCCCCCTTCTGCTGGTTGGTTTCAGGACGTATGAGACATCGCTGCTGGTAGAAGAGGCCATTAGTGAGGAGCTCCCCTATAGTGGTAAGGACCACCCCATGTTACCCCGACACCAGAAAGGCTGTTCTCACAGTGGCCTGGCTTGAAGGCAGAGAGGAAACTGATATTCTCAGAGCTCTATAGACTAACCCCTGAGCTCAGAACAGTGAAAAGATTAGGCAACTCTAATGTAGGGATTTTGGATGGGAAGGAAAGAGATTGGGAAGTCTTGGGACCTGTTTGTCTGACTGAGCCATACTCTCTCCGTCAAATCTTTTCCCTCCTAAGAATATTTTGAGTACTTTGCCCCAGATTTCACGCTCCATCCAGATGTCAGCACCCGCATCGAGAATCAGAACTCGCGCCAGGTCAGTAGCTTGGAGAAGCTGAGCACAAGGGTGGGGAGTGGTCCAGGATGTGGGAAATCAGAGAAACCATGGAAGGAAGTTGATATCAGCTAGAGGAGGATTCTAAACAGGTTACAGTAGAGGCAGTTGGGCGTGGAAGTAGGGACACTTCTCAGTTGGTGTACTCAAACTAGAATTAAAAATGGGATTAAAAGTAGGATGATGGGGTGAAAGGCAGCTGGAAGGGTGGATGCCCTCAATCACTGTGAGCTGCTCACTCTCTATTCCTTAACTCCAACCAGTATCTGGACCAGATCCGCCAGACAATCTTTGAAAACCTGAAGATGCTGAACCATGCACCTAGTGTCCAGATTCACGATGTGCCCGCAGACCTCCTGACCTATGACAGGACTGATGAGGCTGATGCAGAGGAGAGGGGTCCTGAGGAGAACTATAGCAGGTCTGGGGCAGGGATGAGAGAGGGGATTCTAGCGGGATTGTCAGGGAGGTGAAGAGGGGAAAAGTAAACTGAGACCTTAGCTTAATTTTCCCTGGCTTACTTCCTATAGTATGCCTATTTTTCAGTCTGCTGCTATTTCACACTCTTTTTTTTTTTCTCTGTTTTTAATGACATGAGCAACATATATTATAAGTTTTAAACAGCACCAAAATATGTTAAGTTTGCATTTACAAAATCCAAACCCATTCCACAAAGTAACCGTTTGATTTGTATCTTTTCAGATAGATTTTTCTCTATAGATTAAGTATATGTACAGATAAACAAAAAATGCACATATACACTCATTCTCAAAAGTTGTTTGTTTGTTTTTTAATAGAAATTAGGTCATTCTTTATGGGTTGCTCTACAACTTAATCTCTTACAACTGGTTCTTTCTGTTTTTTTTACAAAGCAACATGTATCTTCCCATATCTATCTATCTATCGATCTATCTCTATATATGTCTGCTTCATTATTTTATCAGCTCTATGATATTCCATTGTGTGGATGTAGCCTCATTTAACCAAGCACCATTGATGGACATTTACATATTTCCCATTTTTTTCATTATTTACAAAGAATGTGGCAATGGCTCCCTTTCCCCCTTTTATGTACATCTTTGCTTGCTTATTTGAGCAGATTAGATTCCTAAAATTGTTGCTGCTCAAAGGCTACGTGTGCTAAATTGTTAAGTATTTGCTGCCAAATTGCCTTCCAAAAAGTCTGTAACAGTTTATATTCTTGCCAGCATCTTACTTCCAGGTTTTGAGCTGGACAGGTCATTGCCCATATACTGCTCTCTAAGACCCTTTGATTTCTTTCCTTTATTAATTCTTTTAGGTATGATAATTGTATTGTGGTTTTTTAAAAAGCCGTTATCTTTCTGAGATAGATACTAAAACATTTACAGATGCAATGAATTAGGGGGGGGGGGGGGCGGAGACTAGCATAGAATTTATTTTTAATCTCAAGTAGGCTTCTCTGAAAAATTAAGGGGAAAGACAATAGAAACCAGAAGTGCAGAAACAGATGGACTTAATGGAGAACAGATTTACTTACGTGACTGAAGGATAACCACAGCTGGACACTTGCAGGACATCTGGTCCTGGTCCACGCAGTGCTAGTGGTTTGAACTGGCTCTGCTGCAGAGTCTGATGGGCTTCTCAGTCCCTTCCAGAATCTGCTTCTCTTAGAGTTCATGCTTCCAGATGCATCCTCTGGAGCTGGGCTTCACTGCTTGGCCCCTTGGGACTACTACAACCTTCTTCCTCTGTGAATACTCCCATGTTCCCACTCGTGGTTGAGGAAGTATCTGAATCTCTGGCCTCAGGAATTCCTTTTTGACCCATAATCTCCTTCTCAACCTCTCCGGTCATTGAGGCTTAAATTCTAGAAATTGACTTTCATTTTCTTAAAAAAAAACCACACACACAAAACGGTAAACACCTTTGATTACGTTCTTCCTTTTGGCAAAGTGTGACCTTTTCATCTATAATTCTAGTCTGATATCTGAGCCTAGTCTCTGCATTATATCCTCCCCTCTCAACAGCTAGCAGAAGCCTCAGGCTTCTTCCTGTCGTTAAGTCCTACCTCTCTTTCAGACTGCCCACTGAGTTCCTGTTCTTTGATGTCTCCAGTTTGTGTATTATTTGCAGAATAGTGGTAATAAGAGTTACCACTTTTTGTGGGTTTGCTAAGCATCAAACTCAATACTAAGTGCTTATAGCAGTTCGTATATATCATCATCCTGTTGCCATCAGACAATCCAGAGGAAGATTCTAAAGCTCAGAAAGGTTAAATAACTTTCTGAAGGTTCCACAGCTAGTTTATTATCAGGGCTGACATTCAAACCAGAGTGTCTGACTCCACAGGCTGAACCCTTGTGTGCTTAAAAGTAACTGAGACATTGCTTACTAGGCAGATAGGGTTTTTTCTGACTTAGTTGCCCAGCTTCTCTTTGATGACTTTCTCCCTTTTTCCTTTTTTTTTTTTTTTTTTTTTTTTTAATATATTTTTATTTATTTCAGAGAGGAAGGGAAAGGGAGAGAGAGAGACTCATCAATGATGAGAGAGAATCATTGATTGGCTGCCTCCTGCACACCCCACACGGGGGATTGGCCAACATCTGGGCCTTTGCCCTGACCAGGAATTGAACCATGATCTCCTGGGTCATAAGTCAATGATCAATCACTGAGTCATACCGGTTGGGCAAAAACTCCTTTTCATTGCACTTAGAGGGAAATCCAAATTTCTGACCATGCCTTTAAAAAGCCCTGCATGGTGGCCCTTTACTAACATCCTGGTCTCATCTTTTAACAGCTCTTCTTCATGCTCACTGTTCCCAGACACCCTGGTTTCCTTGCTCTTACTGGTCCTTTCACCTTTATAACTTTGGTACTTGGTGGGTATTTTTTGCAGCTCAGAATGGTCTTCCTGAGATCTTTAGCCAGTTCCTTCTCAAACTTCAGGTCTTACTTTCTTAGAACAGCCTTCCCTAATAATCCTTTGTGAAAATTTTATTCGTTTCCTTCATCACTTTCTGTCACATCTCCCTTTATTTCATTTTATTCATGGTACTCTCTGTTATCTGGAATTATCACATTTACTTATTTACTTTGTTAGTGATTGTCAGTCTCATTTATTAGGTAAGTTTTTAGGGATTGTCAGAGATTTTGTCTGGCATATTCTCTACTGTATTGCTAAGGCTCGTGACAGTACTAGCACAGAGTAATCTCCATAAATGCTTACTGTCTACATGAATGGAGGAATACTAGTGATCATCTCTACTAATAGAAGGGGAGGAGTGCTTCCCTGACAAAGGGGTTTAAGAAGAGGCTCCAGAGAGGGTGCCACTGTGGGAAAATACTGGAGCTTGAAGAGTGGAGCCCTCACCTCTCTCCCCTTGCTTTGCAGGCCAGAGGCACCCAATGAGTTCTATGACGGAGACCATGACAACGACAAGGAAAGCGATGTGGAGATATAAGAGCAGCTGGGCTTGCTGTGTCCCCAAGGAATTCCTTCTTACCTCTTAATTGGGTGGGAGGAAAGAGGTGTGGGTCCCTGTGCTCTGGACCCGTTGCCTTCAGTGGTTTTACCAATGCTGGGGGACTGTTCGGAGACCACATCTGGTTCTCAAACCAACTATCTCCTTTCTTCTCCCTCCTAAGGCCTGACAATGGTACCTATTTGGGATGGGACAAGGATAGCTATCTGTAGAACATCTTGGGCAGTGGGCCCTGGATGCCAGTCCCAGCCCTTCTGGCCTCCTTATCCCTTCCTTGCTTCCCTCTAGCTCAGAGACTTCTAGGGATGAAGGAGTAATCAGGACTGAGGTTGCCTCTGGCTTCCTCCTCTCATGAGTTCTACTGCAAGCCTTCCTTCCACTGCAGTGAAGAGTGAGGGGTTTTAGAGAGCAGAGCTTATTTAACCCCTTAACCCCAGAGGATGGGAAGTACAAATACGTTGCACAGGAGGATGTGAAAATGTCCTGTTCTAAGTTTTGGCTTTATGTTCATTTTACCACTGTTTTTATCCAATAAACCAAGTTGGTATTTTTTTGTACCTTTTGTCTTTCTGTGACTAGCTACCTATGTGTGAAGGCAGAGGAAGGGGGGTTATGAAGTATATAATAAAAATCTTAGTTGACACTCAGCACTTAGCTTATATTAGGCCCTGTATATGTAATCTGCATGGACTATTTTGCTCATATATAGGGAGTTGATAGAGCTTTCTGGTTAAGAGTTAAACAAACATGGGCAGATTACTAAAGAGAGGGGATAGAAGAGAACTTCAGGTTTTTGAACCTGGGTGTTTGGAATGGTGATGTTAGCTGTTGAGGATGCATAGAGAGAAGTGCTTACTTAGCACAGTGCCTGACAAATAGTTTCTCAGCATCTTAACTGTATGTGAAGAAATGATGCTAGTAGTCACAAACATGGACCCTTCTCTGGAGAAGTTTACAGTCCAGTAAGGAGTGAGATAAATGCAGATGTAGATGGCGTTACAAGAAAGAAGAGTAATTGCTCTTCCATGCTTTAATATTGTCTGTTTCTCAACTCTTTAGCTTAGAAAGTAAAATAGCTTTTGAACTGTTTTGGACAAATTGAGTTTGAAGTGTGGGCTGGTCAGCTCTATGCAAATTTTTATCAGGCAATTAGAGTGTGGAATGTAAGAGATTTCTAAGGTAGCCAGCTTTGCAGAGACCCTGTAATCTTAGTCCCTAGTTTGAGCACTGGGGTCTGCAGAGTGAGAATCATTGAATCTGCTCTCAGGAACATACATTTGAAATCTTTTGCTGGCGCTGGGCAAGATAATTCAGCCCATACTTTGAGGGCCCACTAAGTGCCACATACTTTTAATTCAAGGAACACTTGTAGCTGAGAGAAGAAACTACCAAGGAAATCAAACTAGTAGAGCAAATAATGTACTCTTGGAGAACACCTGTGATTTTCACACAGATTTGGTTTATGTCAGTAGGGAATCCTGGTTAAACATAGGGCTTGGCAGTCAGACTTTTTTTTTTTTTTTTTTTTAATCAATTATGTGTCCTTGGGCAAGTCACTTTAGCTTTAAAGTCCAAATTTCCTGTTGGTATAGTGGTGGGGCTAAAGGAAACTATGACATAGCACTGTGAGGATTCAGTGAGAAGATACCTGTAGAATGTTTTATATAGTGCCTGGCATAGAGCAAGTGCAGGTAAAGGGTGACATTACTTTTCTGGCACACATTGGCTATAACTAGTTTATCTGTATTAGAAACAATTAGAAAGTAGCAAACTTTGGATTCAAAACTAGGTAGTGTAACTCCAGAGCTTGTCAAGTTCCATCTATCACTCTGTTTTTGGTACATAGCTTTTAATAAAGAGTTAACTGCCACTTTCCCCTCCTTCTCTTGCCCCCCCCCCCCCATCCCCGTGCTTCATGAATATTGTGCACATGAAAACTATTATCTTGGCACTACATTTTTGCCAAGATAACAGTCTCAATTTGATTTCTGATTCACATAACGCCCGGGGTCTGAGGGATGAGAAGGTCCAGGCTTTACAGCCACGTGGTCTCTGCGTGGGAGTGAGTGGGGAGGCCTGCGCCGCTTCCGCCAGCAGAGGGCGACGTTCGCGGTTGCGGCCACCGAGTGGGGAGGCCTGCACCGCCCCCTCGTCACCCCCCACGTGGGTGCGAATGGTTAGGCCCGCGGGGCAGGTAGCGAGCTTCCGCGGCTTCCCTCCACCCCCCTCCCTCCACTCATTGGTAGGGGCTGCGGGTCCGGGCGGAAGTGGGGCAGGCGGGCGGGAGCGAGGCGTCGCCGTTGTATATTCATGAGGCGCGCGCAGCCGGCATGCTAATGAGGCGGGGCGCGGCGGCCGGCTGAGCTGCTGGGCGGCGGCGGCGGCGGCTGCGGGCTGGGCGCTGCCGGTGGGAGCGGTGTGGGCGCGGGGTGACCGGCCGGCGCGAACCTGGACATGGAGCCGCCCGGAGGGGGCCTGGGGCCCGGCCGCGGGACCCGGGACAAGAAGAAGGGCCGGAGCCCGGACGAGCTGCCCGCGGCGGGCGGCGACGGCGGCAAATCCAAGAAATTTGTGAGTGTCCTTCCCACCCCGCTCCCTCAGCCCGGCCCGGCAACCGCCCTCCGGACCCGGAGCTTCCCCGCGGGGATCGCCGCCGGCCCCGGGGACGCACGCCTGGCTTTCGGGAGCCGCCCCCGCGCCTCGCTTTCTCCTTTTCCTGGGTCCCGGGCTCCACAGCCCGACCTCCTCCTACCCCTCCAGGTCCTCGGGGAGCCCGGCGCGTCCCCCGGCCCCCGGCCCCGCGCCCCTGGCCCGGCCACCTCGGACCTCCCTCCGCCCCCGGCCCCCGCGCTCTGCCCTGCGCCCCCGGAGCCCAGGCGGAGCTCCCCATCTCTGCTCTCACCCCACTTCCTTTCTTCCTCCTCTGTTATTACCCCAACACACCTTCTCCGTCTGGGTCCTCGGTGCTTTTCTGAGTCCGTTTTTCTCCTGTTACCCTTCCCCCTCCCCGCCGTGTTTCTGGGGTTTTATTTGCTTCTCCTAAAGGTCACTTCCTTCCCCCGGATTGGGCGCTCTCACCTGCTAACTTTCCTCCCGCCCAGCCCTCCCGCTGGGCCCTCTGCCCGGTGTCACCGAATAATCCTTCCTCTCAGGAGTGCTACCTGGCCGGGCCCTACCTGCCTTCCCTCCCCCCTGGCCCAGTGTCCCCGCGGGGGGCCAGGCCCCGTGGTCGCTGGGCCCGAAGTTGGTTTTCTCGGCCGGCGTTTCTCCGTCCAGAGAGAGCCTGTCGCTCTGCCCTGTTGCTTTATCACTTTCCAGGGAGTTAGGACTTCCCATGAGTATGCCCTTCTTGACCTTAGGAGGATGGCGATAAACTTTCCCTCCTAGGGAGGAAGTCAGGCTGCAAGTCCAAGAAGTTTGTGAGGAATGGAGTTGCTTTCAACAAAACGTTGCCCAGAACGACCATCTCCTCCACTCTGTGCCACCTCCTGGGCCCCCAGGCGGCTGGCGTCCCCTTTCCTACCTGTCCAAGGGGATAGCTTTCCGCAGGTGCCCATTGCTGCCAGCCGGGATCTCAGGGAATATCGATAGTCCTGGAATCCTATCTATTTCATTACCCTTACTCCCACGGAATCATTTTCATTAATATCTCCAGGGAGCTATGTGGTTTTGCTTTTTGCTTTTTTTTTTTTTTTTTTTAAACTGTAAAAGCTTTGGAAATTATGGGAGACTGTCCAAGAGAGGGAAAGGGACTTGGATCTTCGTCATCATTTGCTAGTTGTAGTTCTAGTTATTTATTCCTCTCTTCCGGGTAAATCACACCCCCTACCCCAGTGTCTCAGTGTCTCTTTCTGCTAACCACATGGGTTCTAAATCTTTCCTCTTTATCTTACCCCAATCCCTTAGCATTTTGACCCAGTTCCACACTTTTTTTGTTGCGGGAAGGGGTGGTGGTGGTGGTTGATAAAGTGATAGGATCAGGAAGAAAACGTTGCTTTGGGACATGGAGGGTTGAGATGTGGAGTGTTTTAAACAGAAGTAAAATAGTGACTCATCTCTTCCTGCATATTTCTAGCAAGGCAGGTACCACTGAACTGCCCTTTCCAGTGCCTTACAGGCTGTGGGTAACTCTGGTTTTATCTGGTGAAACAGTCCCCGCCCCCACGCCCCCTCCCAGAAATGGAGGGTTAATGGTAGTGACGACCTTCCCCTATGCTAACTGAAGAATCATTTCTTTAGGGTAAGCATTGACCCTCTAGGGTGGAGAGCTTTCTTTCTGAGCCCATATTGCTCCTGTTTCAGTGTCTTTTTGTTTTGATTTTGTTTCCATGGCTACTATTTGACCTTCCTCACCCAGTTTCAGCTATTCCTGCTGATTTATAAGTGACCTCTGTGGCTTGTAAATGTTTTTCAAGCCCTTAATAGAAGTTTATATGTTTTATCTAACACTGTGCTTCACACATGTGTGGGATCTGCTAAGTGTAAGTGGTGCTGAGAGGCGAGACGCCTGAGGAAACAACTTCTGTTCACCTGTTTTTGGAAGGTCCATGAGCTCTGTCTATGCTGAGTGGATTTGGCACAAAGTTGTTGATATTTGCTTTAGAGAGGGTGGAGTTGAACCAAGTTCTCTTTTTCTTTCCGAGGTGCTGGTCTTAACCCTTAACTTGCTAAGTTTAAAATAATATGTCGCTCAGGTAGGAAGGAGAATTGCATTTACAGCTAGGGGATTGGAAAGCAGAGCTACTTAACCCCTTTATTGCCAACTATAATATAGCTCAAGGCATCGGGATATTCTGTCTTCCTCATTGATCGTTTTAGGAGAGCTCTGGAAGTGAGAAGCCATAGGCATTCACTTCTCTTTGTGTCTGTAGCTGTGGGTGGGTGGAGTGGGCGAGACTGCTGGTGTGCTTTTGTTACCCATGGCTCAGTTTTCTTGAACTGCAGGCGGAAAGCAAACTCACAACTTTTGCCTCCTCCAC